CTTTCTACAAGATTAAGTGATGTATTCAGATAGCTGATGTCTCAGGAGGATTTTCATGATTTTCAGTACCTGGAAGATTTAATGCTCATTCTAGTCGAAGGACAGCAGGTTTTGCAATTGGTGTTTCCCATTTGAGTCCCACTAAGGTTTGTGGTTCGTTAGGATCTTTTTTGGAGCTTGGCATCCCTTTGTGAAAGTACTATGAGAACAGCCATCTTTGTAATGAATGTTAGTCCTCTTCCTTCTCTTGAAGAACATCAATGTCTGCTAAGCTTTCATAGGCATGTTCTGGAGGGGCAGAGCCCAAAGGGGGATAAAAAAACCTATGCCTTAGTCTATTGCCTTTGTGGAGAGAGAAAGAAAGAATGATCATAGTCCTAACCAAGGGTATGAAGCATAGTTTAATCTGATGTTCTGCCAAAGATTTTTTGGGTGGTTTTCAGCAAATACTTTCCTACCTTGGCGGGAGCTGTGCAGGTGAAAGACAACAAAACTGTTGGGTGCCAGGGCTTGAAGGAACCACTTGCAGCTGCAGGGAGCTGGGTACCCACCAAAACCAGAAGAGCTGTGGGGCAGGACTGGGGCTGGATGTCTGCACTCTCTCTGCAGCATCAGGGCCTACCACACCCAGACCCACAGTGCCAAGGACTGATCTCCTCATCCGCACTGCTCCCAAGGCAAGGCTCCCAGCAGACGGGAGAACCTTTTGCAGAGTGGAAGGTGCTGATGTGAAGAGACACGTCTTTGCGCAGACCCTCAGCTCCCTGCTGGTTTGCTACTCTCAGGAGGTCCGATCATTTTCCTGACAACCTCTGCTGTGACCTCATTCCGAGTGGTTTCTGTTGAGTAACGTTTCTGTCCGGAGGTTGAGCTCTGCCCCTCGTTGTATGAGTATGCTTCTGGAGCCTGCAGGCACTGCCCTGTGCTACCCTGCTGTGAAACACCCTCATTTTCTGCAAGGTCATCTCTGCAGAAGATGAATCATCTTTTTGTGTGAATAGTTCTGTTTCCTGCCCTTCACTCAGACGGTGTGAGCATGCAGAGTTAATTGGATTATATAAAAAAAAAAAGGATTAAAAACTTATGTTTGTGTCTGAGCAGATCAGAAGCTGCTGCTCCTCCATGTGAGGTGTTTCTGATCCTGTTGGAGCAGGAGTGCATCTCTGAGTCTGTTCTGATGGACTCTTCTCCGATCAAAGTGTTTTTCAGGTGTGTTATGGGCTAGAAAAGGAGATAAATCACCTATACTACAGTACTGTCGATTGGGTTTCATTCCTCTGATGCCCAAAAGAGAGAACCATACAGCAGTATCTGGCAATTTATTGTAAACCATTCATTTTGTTATAACCCATTCGTTGTCCAGAATTTACCATCCCTCTTTCTTCAGTAGGTTACTGGCCCATATTCATAAGGGGTGGTATGAAATGGAGGATGTGATATCAGAGTCCAGTGGGAAGAGGACTACTGCCCTACTTCTCAGCAAGCCCTCTGCCTGGCACTGGCACAGCAAGATCCTTTATCATCTTCAAGATGATGAGACTGGAGATGCCTCAGGTGATTTATAAGGAGTCATGGATATATGATGTGAGTTTAATTCATAATGGGATTGAACTGAGAGCACTAATGCTGTTTTACTGCAGATCTGACATTAACATTCACACTGTGTCTGATGGATAGTGCAGAAGAACCAAAGTAGGTTTTCTAGTGGGTCTGGTAGAAATCCATCTGGCTCAGCCTGATGAAATTATTGCTGCAATTTGCTAATCTAGGCACAAGAAAATCCATCCATAAACACAAGTATGTAAAAACTCTAAAAAAAAAAAAATCAAACCACCATTTTGTCTATGTAAAAAAAATAAAATAAAGAGGGAACACTGCTTTCAGGTAGGTAGGAAAACAGAATTTTGCAACAGCTGCATAGCGATTTTGCAAGACCGCATTTTCTCCTGCACCAAATGAAGGGTACTTCCTTACTTCAAAGAGTTGTAAGGCTGTGTTTTTTACAATTTTGAATGAATTTGGAGTGTCTGGGTATTATACACTATAAAGATGCAAAATATTAGAGTACAAAATTAATTCTAGAAGTCCTAATTTCAGCCCAAATTTGGGAAGCCAAGCTACAGCTGCCTTTCAGCCATGGGTAGAGAGCTGTAAAAAGTGCTATATTATGGGCACTGAAAGAGTGCATGTAAACTGAATTTCATTGTTGATCCCACTTGCCAGCATTTTAGGATTTATGTCTCACCATGGAGAATATTTGCTTCACCTCTTCTTCATGGCAATGAAGTGTTGCTCATAGGCTTTGAATTATGACAGAATTAGAATGTCTTCCATGGTAGAAAGTCCTTAAATATACCCTTAAATATTTCAGTTTTATGTTGGGATGCTTATGAAGGCTGGATTTAGGTACCCGTATCTCCTTTCTCCCCAAAATGTGTCCTTTTCTGTACTAGGAGTCTTACTGGGCAGATTTTCATCAGTACTCCAATGTATCTGGATTTATGAAATGCCTGCCAGAGGTGGAGTTTTACAGCCATGGAGAGAGCTGAGAAAGGAGAATACTTGGTTGGCTGCAAAGAGCGGTGAGAACAATTTAAACAACAGCATCAAAGAGGCAAAAGCAGGAGGAGGCAAGAAGCACCATGGGCTCTGCAAGCTGAAGGGTGAAACCCAGATTGAGAGCTTGAAGGTGGGCTGAGAAGGGGGCCACAAGATGATGGAGAGGACTGGGAAGGAAATGGAAAGGTTAAACTGTTGGTGCGGTCACAGGAAAGCTCTGGGAAAATGACACGCGGGATGTGAGGAGGTCCATGTCGGGGACGTCACATTTCCACTGTGCCTCCTGCCCCACTGAAACCAGAAAACCAGGATAATGGCAAAGGATGGAGATGCTCACTGCAGAGAACTGTTGGTGCCACACTCACCCTGCCAGAAATACACTGGTCCTTTGGCAAGGGGCATGCCCAAAAATACTAACAAAGCAGTCTTCATTTCAGTAGATAATTCAAGAACGAAAGGTGTCAACTAGCAAGAAGGAAATAGTCTGGAACAAGTGAATACCCGAGGAATATCCCTCCTCCTAGAACTGGTGGTGATCAGGCAACAAAAGCAGCATTACGTTAGGTCTCTACCACAGTGTACAAAGAGCTCAGGAAGTTTAAGCTAGAGGAACTGTTTTTATTGGGGTTTTATTGCTTTTGCTTTATTTTAATTCAGCAGCAGAATATTTGCCGGAGGAGATGGAACAGCCAGTTTCAGTCCACAAAAATGCCAATGATTTATTTATTGCTATCATTTAGGGAAAGGGCAGCAGTTGCTGGTTCTGAATATTTAACATCGCAGGGAAAGTACAAGCCACTCTGAAGCCCGCATGTTCCAGCGAAGCACTGCAAACCAGCATGCCCCCCTGGCCCCCGAAATTCAGAGGTGGGAGAACTGTGAAGGTATGCCCTGGCATACTCTTACAGGGACTGAGACTTCTTCTTCGAAGCTCAGGTTGTGTGGTTGCGAGCAGCCTGCTGAAGAGACCCTTGCTCCTCTCTGGGCAGTGGCCTGCTATGAAAGCCCAGGTAAGGAGGTGAGGTGCATCTGCAACTCTGAAGGCATTACCTGCATAGCATTCATCTCAGGAAAAATTGCAATTCGTTTTACTTCACACATCATTTATAATAATTCCCAAGAGAGCAGCAGGTGGGAGAGATTAACATCAGTGTTTTTGCCGACCCAAAGCCAGCTACAGCGAAATGTCTTTTGAAACACTGAAGGACTGTTCTTAGCTCGCTTCCCCCCCTTCTTTTGTTTTCCAAGGGGCTCAAGCAATGACCCTCAGTCTCTCTAGCTACTAACTGACCCAACCCGCCAGATGTTTCTTGAAAAAGCCTGCAGAAGCAGCCAGGCCATAGCCACACATGGGCAGAAGGGAAAACAGGAGAAGACAATTTCCCATGCTTCTCATGTGTCACACTCACTGTAGAGCCCCTCTCCTTCAACACGTCACCGACCGCGGTGGGATTTCTCTGCTGTTGTTGGCTATGGAGGAAACATGCCTGACTGCAGATGGGATCGAGTGCCAGGAGATGGCCAGCACCTGCCTCTGAGTCTCCCCAAGGAGCCATCCGAGGGAGAAGCTCTTAGAGAAGCTTGTGCCTTCTTGTGATCATCGCCATCTGTGAAACACCCTCAGCAGACAAAAGGGACCATCACCACTCTCCAGGTGTATGGAAGAAAAAAAATTAGTGGTTTGGTTTTTTTTTTAAGGAGAGCATTTCAAATCTCATAGCCAATTTGCAAACAGATATTCCAGCTGCATTGTTTTAAATCAGTATTTAGTGGCACACACAGTGGGTCTAAGGGGCACTGAATTCAACAGCAAGATCAGTACACAACTTAGGACCATCCTGATACTTTCTTTTCTGAAAATCTCTTTTTGAATGCTTAAGGAAATAGCAGCTAAAAAGGTGAATGCTCCGATGACTGGCTATGGTTATATCCATCCTGGAGCCAGACCACCTGGCAAGCCCCTCACTACCCATCATGATACAAGAGTGAGACTTAACCATGCTCACAGTGACCACCCACTAGCTGTCATCCCCAATTTAATGCAGCATGAGGCTACCCAGGCCCCAGCTCAGCGGAGGTGGTGACTTTTTCTTCTGAAGCTTTCGTTGTCTGGGTGCTGAAAGTTGTTTCCCCAGAAGCTGAAGGGAGCTCTGAAACTGCAAGCTCCCCAGGGCTCGCTTGCGACCACAGTGTAAGAGTTAAATCACTATTGCTGGTATTGAAACCTGGGTGCTCCGGTCCCTTAGTGGAATACTTTACCTTTTACCAGGCATAGGGAACTCCTTAATACCAGGCAATTAGGCAGACAACGACAGAAATCCATTTGCATAGCATGCTCAGACTAAAGGTTTCTATGAGTCACCCTGGGTGCACTTTCCAGGAGAAAGTGTTGTTTCCAGTGTTGCTGGAGGGCAACAATAAATTGATTAGCCTCTTTAAAATTTCTCATAAAATTGTATTAACAAAACAGTAAATACGTTACACAGAGACCGTAACCACAGGATGTTTACATAATGCCCACTGTGGACGAGTACTAAATACCATAAAAGACCTGAGACCCCCCCGAAAAGTTCACAAGTTCCGGCTCTCACAAGGCAGCTAAAGCACCATTGTTGTTCCTCCTCCTCCTTCCTCCTCCTCCTCCTCCTCCTTTTCCTCTTCCTGCTCACATTTCAGCTTCGGCATTGTGAACTTTGCTGGTGGTTATTGCAATTCCTATCGCTAGGCTTCCGTTGTCAGAAAAGAGCTGAGCCAGGGAAGTGTTCAGCACAAGGCAATCCCCGTCCGAAATGACAGAGTCAACACACTCCAGTACCGACCTGGGGGTCGCCTCCCACTTAAGGCGCCTCTGGTTCCTGTTGAGCTCAAGTCGGTATGTGAAGTTGTCGGCTTGGGTTGGCGTGCCAATCAGCATCATGGTGGCGAAGAACTGGGGGTGGCCTTCATACTTCTCCTGCTTCCTAAGGACCAGCAAAAACTGGTGGCCAAGGCAAGAATGCATGATGATCCAGTCCGTGGGTGCAGGCAGGTGCATGTCCGTGGCCAGGAAGACAATCTCTGCCCCCTGAAGGATGTTGATGCGGTGGGTCTGTCTCAGATGGGACACCACCACCTCCAGGTGCCCTTCCCATGGGCAGGAGAAGAGCGGACACGTGCAGGGAACCAGCTGGGGGTCATGCACTGCTTCATGGTGATGGCAGGGAGGAAGGATGCCTTGCTCTGCGGATGTCTGTGCAGCTGCACAGCGGGTCGGTGCATACTACGAGAAAAGAGAAATCACATGTGACAGTGGGTGAACTAGGAACCGGTGCAGATATGAAAGGAGTAGACCCCACAGACATCGGTCACCTAATACCCCACCTAAACCAGCACTGGTGGGAACGCCAGGAACTCAGCACTCCGGAGATCAGGCACAATCCAGACCTGGATCTGCATAGCAAAAGGTGCTGGCACTTGCCTCGTTCTCCAGGGGAAGAAAGAAACCGTCTGAGCCATGATAAGTCCCTTCAAATGAAAGTGATGTATGTGTTTAAAGAGCGATTTCATTAGTTCAGGGGGAAAAATCTGATTAAAAAGAAAAAAAGTGCAACAAAGCAAGGACAGCATGGGGCATTTTATATAGTTAAGGCTCTTGTAGCTCAGAACAAGGAAATGAAATATGTATGGCTTTATTATTCTTTAATGAAACACACTGGCAAATACAGGCATTTCTCCTGAAACAATATGCTTTATAACACCCATAATTTGTGAAATAGAAGTCAGTTTTTATTGTATACGATACCTTAATTTTTTTTGTTTTGTCAATGTATTTGTGCTTAATTGATGCGCTTACCTCCATAAATCTTAAAAGGCTCTCAAAGGTGGATGGATGCCAAATTTAGGACATTGTTATACTAAAGTAAATTTGGATTAAGGTAGAGCAGCTAGCTAAAGAGACAGCAGCTCTTGCAGAATGATTTCACGTGAGGGCTAGGAAGCAAACCGCTCTACCTCTGTCAAGCAGATGGTGTTGAAGAGAAATGAGTAAGTCTTACTCAACCAAAAGTGTGTCCACACGTAATGCTATTCAGGAAGAGTAACGGCTGTCCGCAATAACTCTGTGCATAGACAAACCCTAAGGCACAGGCATGCCGGTCATGATTCATCCTACCCAATTTTAAGCATTTACTTCAGCCACCTGAGACAGAAACCTGGTTACCCTGGCCTGTCTCTGCAGTCAATAGAGGGAGGTAGCCCTTCGCAGTGGCTGATTCAGATCTTAACTGGAGTAATCCACCTCCTAAAAGTGGCACCGGCTACCGACAGAGTGACTTAGGCTGAGATCCAATCCGTCTAGGTATACCTAAATTTTAGATGCTTGAACGTAGGAGGACATTGTCTCTCTCTGAACTCCTTTGGAGTATAGTATATACAAGGACTATAAGAATTAGGAGTATATACATATATACGTGCATTTTGCTTTAACATATGTTTTAGGAATATTCATGTAATTCCTTGAATACTGCCCCATGTCTGCTCATTTTAGAGTATGTACCCCAAATTACAGGAACAATAGTATGGTTTAACATCTAACAGTTGTTCTCCTCCATGCCACACCCAAGTCACAGCAGATTTGGGCTTTATTCAGCTGTTTTTGAGCAGAGATTTGTTTTAACCAGGGGCAAGCATAGTCCTGTATAATAGGTGCCAGATATGTTGCAAATGGTGCATTGTCTCATCTCTCTATGGACACTGTGATGGTTTTCATTACAGCCTTGACGTGAGAGTAAGCATTCTTACTGTAAGCAGGTTTTCCCACCAGAACTTGCACTTTTGCTTTCCAGGCTGTTTTGGAAGGCAATCTCTCAGGTCATTTGTCCTCACTCTCGGATGACCAGGGCTTCCTTGCCATTCAGGTTGACACAGTCCTGGATCTCCATGCTCATTTTGTCAGTAACTGCCAAGGGATGTGGCGGTCAGAGCGGGGTTGCGATTACCGCTGCTTTGAAATTCATGGTTCTTCCCAAGGCGCTGGGTGTCAAAAGGAGCTGTTTCTTCTTCCTCTGACATTTGATGTGACGAGTAATTGACTATTTAAGCCCTATTATTGAACCCTGCAGGTTTTCCTTTGGAGAATTATTACTTCGATAATACTGCTTTACTTTTCCCTTCCTCATATTTTATTTGTTTTGCTGTATAAAATTCAAGAATATAAACTTTCCAAGAAGATAAGGAATTGAGGACAGATAAATGACTATCATTGTCTGGGAAATAAAACAGGTCATTATAAACTAATCGAGGTTTGTGGCTTTAGCTGCCTGCTTATCGCGGTGGGATTTCTGGTTCACACTTAATTCTACATTAATTTTTGCATCCCATTAGAATGAAAGTTATGGTTAATTTAAACTCTTTTTGGTGAAGGAGGCTACTGCAATGGCAGATCATAAAAGCCTTTTAAAAAATCCCTGAAATGCTAATTGCCTCATTAAATGAATTCTAATCTCCCAATCTAATACAGTGGGTGTGAGCAATTACTTTCTCTCACCAAACTGTTAATGCAACATTAGTGATTATACTAATTAAAACTAATGAACTCATACTCACATGCTGATAAACCTCTCAACCACTCGACAAGTTCCAGCCTTCTATCAGTTTTATTTAACTCCTCTTTGGGAAGATGAATCTTAAATTAGGTTTTGAAATGTGAAGCTTTATAGACTGTGTATAATTCTTCTCCAAAGATTACCAGAGTCAGAGAAACCATTTCCACTGAGGGTGTAATTGAATTTAGAAATGCATTCTCCTAATTTGATAAGCATGGAGAGCAATGGTAGCTCATCCATCTAAACTGTATCCAAGGTAAGAAAATACAAGTATCTCCAAAAATCACTTTATGACAAGCACGTTTCTATGGCTCAGGAGCTGGAAAAATAAATTACAATGAGCAATTTATTCAATATATCTTTCTTCTTTCCATCATTTGTGATATTTGTGTGTGTGTGTGTGCAGATAATTGAGAATTCTTTTTCATATCTCACATTTTTGAAACATTTCCATGAATCATTTCTGCAAAGGATTTTTGGTCTGACTTTGCTCAGTTCAGGTTTATTGAAAATTCTGGAAATCCAGCACAAACCACATGATCTATTTTTATTCTCTGACTAGGTGAGAATCATCTTCAAAATCTGATTTCTGAATTATTCAACATTCCTTCTTCTAAATTCTAAATTTTGTAATATTCTGAAAGAGACATTTAAAATTTCCCTGTCTCTGTGATAAAAAGTCTCACAGAAAACTATTATTTTATCTTTACTTTTCAGGTATGAGTGTAACTGTTAGGGCGTCCATGCCCTTGTTGGTCTTTCATATGGCTGTGAATCAAACCTCTAAAATTGAAATGCAAAATGGGCATCAAATGGTCACTTTGAGTGCATTTAAATGCTTCAATAAATATTTATGAATGTTTTTTTTCCATGTTTAATCTGCTCCAGTATTTACTTTCTGTCATTTATTGCCCGATTACCTAATAAAATTAGGTTTATTATACTGTTGTGTCAGTCTAATATTATTCTCAATTGTCTTTTAGCCTGTTGGCCAATTTCAGTCAAATTTAATTGTGTGACAGAAGACTCAAATGCTTTAATTTTCAACCGGTTTTGTGAGAAGAGGCAGCAGGGTAGAGAAGTATGACCCTTTCACGTCTCCAGGGAGGAACAGCTTACCAAGTGGGCAATATTGCATTGTCAGACAGGAGAGAACCTGAACAACGGCAGTTTGATCCCAAATGTATTACAGACACCAGAGAGCCTATATGAGACAACGTCTTTATGAACAGGAGAAAAGGTTTCAGCCAGAGTGCTCCTCATTAGACGTGAGATAATCCCAACACGAGACACCAAACTGCAGGAAACCAGGCTCTGCTGCTCACAGAAAAATTTCTTTTTAATGATGTAGCTTATTACAGTGTAATTCTTTTTTAAGAACAAGTCATTTGGCAAAGAGCAGTTTATAAACACACAGTGTTTTTCTTATGGAAAAAAAAAAAAAAGGGTTATATTTGGACCTGGGACACAGGGCTTCTGGGTCCTGCCCCAGCCTTTCTACAGGCTTTCTGCTAAAAATGCAACAAACAGCTCTAGATGTGAGTCATCTGTTTTAACTTTGACATCCGAGGAGTAGGTGGCTAACCCTGAAGAACATCAGCTCCTTTTACAGCCCATGCAGAGCCCCAGAGTGCAATTCACTTCATCCAAAGAGAAGCCAAAGGAACATCCTCCTGGCCATCACTCCCTAGATGTAGCCAGGACCAAACCCATCCTCGAGGTAGACCCACAGAGATTTTACTGTTTTCTAGACAAGGAGCAGAAGGGGAACACTATTTCAGTCAGCAGACAGTTGTTCCTTGTTCCTCATGTGAACAGACTGCTCGTCTGTGGAGAGAGAAATGGATGTCTGTTCATGTGAGGGTGTAAATCCACGACTCCCTACCACCACTAAACTTCCAGTCACCAGTGATTTGATACAAAATCCAGGGGAAGGTCAAAGGGCAGATCCAAGAGGTAGAGATCTCCAAGGGGTAGAGGAGACACAAGAATATCTCTGAGTCTGCAGCTGCAAAGCTGAGGCGCCCACCCAAGGGAGAGGGCTTTGGTATTGCTCCTCACACTCTGAGGGACCTTTTGTATTTTAACTAGCAAAGGCTTGAGGTCACATATGGTAAAAATAGTGGAAACAGAGGCAGAAACCCACACTGCACCTCTGCTGGCTGAGCTCCCAGCCCCGTGGGGTGCAGGCACCGGCTACACCATGATCCCTCAGGCCCTGCTTCTCTGCTGCACATTGGCAATTTCAAAGAGGAGAGCAAAGGTGGCTGCTGCCTTGAGCTGCCAAATGCCTTGTGAATAAAGTCCTGAGTTGCAAATAGAGAATTTTCTCGCAGCAAACCCCTCAAGGTGAGGGAGGGTTGAATCCAATCCTCCCACCCCATGGGAGAGGACCCAGACCCTGATGATCTGGAGTAAAAAGAGAGCAAGTAGTACTACCTCATTGCAGAAGAATAAACGCTGCTCAGCTCTTCAGAGTGAAGGCTAAATGTCACCTTTCTGCACTTTCCAGTGTTCCCCAGTGTTATACTGGGAGACTGGATGCCTCATTCATACTTTCATTTACAGTAATGTACACAATGTGAAAAAAAATCATCCTTTTCCATGTCTGTGAGCAGTATCAGCCTGTGCCGAGAACAACTCAAGGAGCGAGGACAGGGACTCATTTGCTGCCCAG